AACACAATCAACATTCCTTTCCACCACTGATCACCTCTTCTCATCTCCAACTTGACACATCCCATTTATAACAGATTTCATGAGGACATTTATCTCGAAACCAGTCTCTGAACAGTTAACCTTTGTAGTTAACATCAGGTAGTTTTAAAAAGAGTTCCAACGTGGAACTGAAAATTCACCAAAATACGAACGTATTGGATGATGTTTTTGTTTTAATTCAATACAAATCAGTAATGATAGCTTTTAAGATCACATTTCAAACCCTTAAAACCTTAAGGAAAATATGATCATGGAGAAAACTGAGTTCTTCAGTCTTCAACTAGAACAATATTATGAAACAAAACTTCTTGGCTCAATATTGGTTCTTTAAGTTAAATAAGTTAATTGTCTTCAAGGGAAATAGGTAAAATTAAATTGAGTACTGGCAATTTGAACTATTTCATTAAAACATCGTCTTGATCGAAGTCAAAACTATTCTTATAAGAATTAAATGCTTAAAAACAATATTTATTTTAAGTTACTATAGAATCAGAAAAATCTACCTTTTAAAAAGTATTGAACACTAAATGAAACAATTAGATATTTTATTAAAGGTTAACATATATGTTGGGATATTCAGGAAAATATCCCAAAAATTATTCTGTTAAGTCTAACGCTATCCTTTGAACTTGAGATGGTATCATTTTCCTATTGGTCAATATTTATTTCACGTGTCATTTTCCTACTGGTCAATACTTATTTCACGTGTCAAATGTTATTTTCTATTTTATGATGCGGTGTGGTCTGCATGATTGGTATATAAACAGAGTATGTTTGAAATACATGATTCATATCTCAGAGGTTGAGACTTACGTTCTGGACTCAACTGGCTGGGCTAGACAAGGAGTCAGGACCAATCAGGACTCTGGGTTGTTTTCTCACGTGTCTTACTCGTCTTTGGTTCGATCGATAATTCGCTGCCGGCTAATCTGGAGTCACAAGTGATAACAATATGAGACTTACATAATCTCCTAAAATTTATTACGGTAGAACAAAAAAAGAACTGACTAATTCGTACTACGTGTTCTCAAAGTCTAAAAATGATATTTTCTTCCTAATTCATAGTCTTATAAAAAGCTTAAAAATCAGTAATCAGTATGATAAGAAGAAAAGTTTAAATTTTCCAGACAAATAAACACAATCTTTTTTTCTGCAAGTTTTAAGCTTTATGTATCCATTTCCTACTCAGTATTTTCTTTATAATAAATAAAAGATTTTAAAAACACAAGTATATAAAACCTTCACATCTATTGATAAGTATTTAAAATCTAGAAGAGACTTGAAATAATGCATTTTAAATAAATTATTAAATGTTCCCATTGTTATCTAAGACTGAAAATGATCAATCTCTTGTTGGCATATGTGCATCCTTCTGGGAACTGCCTCGATATTGCCTGAAGTTACAAGTATTATAAGCAGAGATGGATAGTGGCTAGCAGTGGAATCAAGGACGCGCGTTTCGTCCTTGAGAAGATACAAGCAAACAACAGCGAATGAATATAACTTCACCCCATTGCACAAGAATATGGCTATCAGGGATCAGTAGCTAAGTGGATAACACTATGGCGTAGGAAGCGAATGGTACTAGGTTCAAGTCCCAGAGTGAATATCAACTCTGAGATGTAGGTGCATCCAGCTGACAAGCTCTGGATTCCACTGGATTAATAAGTATGTTCCATGCAATTATTGATCATAAAGTTCACTAATTAGTCAGTTTGTGGTATATGCAACTGATGTAGTATGTATCATCAAACGAAAACGGAATCCCTGGAGGCCGAAAGCTGAGAAGTTTGATGGCAAGAGAACGAGAACAGATAGTGATTGATATGGAAATGAAGGAACAATGAAGTTTGAGACAACTGATGGATATTTTGCAAATGAAGTATTTACTGTATGGTTCTCAGATTTTGCTAAGAGACTCTGTAATTTTGTGTTCAAACACACTTGGTTGTCCCTGCCTGTGTTCTCGCTGACTACGAGTTGATTACATGAGGACTCTGATACATCTAAGTGTTGATTATCTTTGAAATTTGATTTTTACTACTATAAGTTTTGATATATATGTTGTTGACGAGGAGCGTGTGAACAAATGAGCAAGATAAAATATTAGATAAGTTCCCATTAAAATGTGACTACTATAGAACACTAAATTCAAAAGCTAAGATGATGTAAATAGAGTTTTCTTATTTTAAAAATAAGACAATCATATGAAAATGACGTAAAAAGTATGTTAAAATATCCCCAACTGAAAATAAGGATGACAATGCGGCCTGCTTAAATATCCGGGCCATCTGTTCCTGTCATCTGGATATTCAAACAAGTTAACTATTTTCTTGTTTGTTTTAACACATCATTATGTCAATTAGTCTCATAACCTATTCAGGTGCGTTTATGAAAAGTATGAACTTTGCTATACTAGTTACAAAAGAGCTCAATCAGAGACATCGTGGTTGCTGGCAATATACATCAAAAATAATATACATTATTTAGATGTCGGTCGATTGCTGAACTTCTAACATCTAACTGGTAACCACTCAATATTTATCGTCATGATTGATTAAAAAATAAGTAAAGGGAACTTGTTGAAATACTTTGTGCTGATAATTCTATATTGTACCAAAAATGTGATATTGAATAACGCCACTAATAATAATAATAATAATAATAATAATAATAATAATAATAATAATAATAATAATAATTCTGATATTTTATAATTCAACAACACAAAAATGGTAATAAATTTTATTTGAAAAAAGTAATAAAACATTTAATATTGAACAATTTTAATAAGATAAACAAAACAAGTTGCTTTAAACACTCATATGTATGATCAATGCTCAATGTAGAATAAAACTCGGCAAAATAAAAAAGAAACGAAGATTAAAGTTTTTAATTAGGGATTTAATCAACAAAACATCTTAATAATTAGGCATTTTATTTTAAAAAAGAAATTTAACTATTTTGTTTATTTACATAGTAACAATATTTAAAATAAATTTTATTTAATGTTTAATAAGCGCTGGAAGTGGATAGGACACACATTGAGGAAAGCACCCAACTGCGTCACAAGACAAGCCCTCACATAAAATCCTCAAGGCCAAAGGAAATGAGGAAGACCAAAGAACACATTACGCCGAGAAATGGAAATAGACATGAAAAAAATGAACAAGAATTGAATGGAACCAGAAAAGAAGGCCCAGGACATAGTGGGTTGGAGAATGCTGGTCGGCGGCCCATGCTCCATTGGGAGTAACAGGCGTAAGTAAGTAAGTAATTTGAAAACATATTCATAATATGAACTATGAATATGATAGAATGTTATCAAGATATTTAACACGATATTACTAAGGATATAAATCATTTAGCTAAGAAAATATAATTCTATCTGATAGACAAATATTCTTTATTATTATTAACAAAGACGTTTTATATTATTTTTGTCCTTACAACTAACTAATACTGTTAGCTCTCTGTAATCAAGTCTAGGAGTTTGTATTCGCTCATAGATATCACTTTCGATGAGAAGCCTAATGATATTACATTGTTCCATAAACTAAACTAGATGAAGTCGAATTGGGATAATTAAATGTCAGATTCTTTCATTACTAAGCCATCAATCCAGTGTTTAATTTGGATGTTATAAAGATTATCGTGTTATATAAAATATATTCTGTAGCACTTTATACTTAGTAAAATAAAATAATAATTAACTTTATTCATGTCAAATTATTACAAATGAAATAATAGCTGAGAGTAATAAGATGATTAGTGTTTTGTTATTACAAGTCAACATCTATTGCCGCTTATGGGATATATTAGAAATCAAAAATAGAGCTTGGATTTTATGGTAGGCTGTAGTTCTATGTTAGGTTATAGATTTGATACACAGAACAAAAGCTAGTATTATTGATGGAACCGTATTTAGGATATAAACTATTGTTCTTAATTATATAATTAAATAACTAATATAATAATAATAATAATAAAGAACCCAGTTTTTAAACACCACCAAATGATTAAAAATATTTCGCTGTTGGTTTTAATTCATAAACAATAATAAGCACGGAGTTTATAGAAAATAGGAAGATAAAAATAAGTATTTGATGTAAAACACACTCAAACAAACATTCATCAATAAACCGATATAAGATATGACTTGAGATAAGTGTGTTTTTATCTGAGTTTCTTTAATTCATGTTACAAATTAACACTCCAAATAGTAAATCAGACCAAATAATGATATGAAACTTAGTAGTGACTGTAGTGTAGAAAATATCAATACATTTAGTAAACGAGTCCCGACTAGGACGAAACGCACATTCTGTATTCCATTGCTAGCTACTATCTAACCCTATTAATATACTCGCAAATATCTGGGTATATAGAGGGTTCTCTCTCAAGATACATAAATGTTCAAAGTGATTGATAAACTACATTATTTAATATCAACAAGGAGATACAAACACTTACGAATTGAAGTGCAGGAAATATTATTCAAATGAATTTAATAAAATCGGGAAATTAGAAATATAAAAACGAAAACAAAAACATAGACCACATGGTGATAAATACGTTTTTACTGCAGTAATCATCTGAGACTATAAACTGAGATATGCACTGGGCCTTAAATAAATTTATCGATCAAATAAAGTAATGAATTGTATTTAATATCTTCCATGAAACGGTTATTGATGTTTATTTGCAGAACATATGTACAAACATCTGTTTCTAATGATCAACTCATGTCTTAAATGCCATAATGAAATATGATATGCTGACGTATAAATAATAAAATATTCTATTTTTAATACAGCACTTGAGAGAAGCTTCTAGATAAAAAGCAATACGAATTCAATATGCCTAAAGTAAATCATGCATATTCCCTTCGATCTTTAATTAATAATAATTCAATTTTTTCAAAATAATCAACATTTACATTTTAAAAAGCATCTACTCACTTTCAAATCTCGATGTACAACTCCTTGACTATGCATATATTCAGTAGCTAACAGAACTTGTCGAATAAGGGCACTTGCATCACGTTCAGTATAACTACCTTTCTGAACAATACGATCGAATAATTCCCCTCCAGTAACCCTAAATTTGACAGAAAGAGGAAATAAAGTCTTGTAAACAAATATCAGAGGAATAACCAGTTAATAAAACAAATTAACAGAGTATTCTGATTTAGTTATTAGGGTATGAAAATCATTGTTCTTCAAAAATCATTATGATATAAATTACATTGCTGTAAAGTAAAATTTTAATTAATTTGATCATAGTTATTAGTTGCTAACAATCTGTTAAATAGTTGACCCAATACTATCATAATTCATTATTTTATAAAACATTATATTGTTGTGAATTGTCCTGAAATGAAATCTTAGTGACGAAACTTTCAGTGTTCTATTCTTCGAGTTCTGTCTAAAATACTGAACTTTCAGGTTGACTCATGTCCATTTAATAAGAAGAAAATTCACCGTTGAATAACATCGATTAACTTGTCATGAGTTTTGAACCAGGAGAGTTTAAACTAAATAAATCGGAGAAACTGCCGTATTTTGTGATCTTTTCTAACATCGGCTTATAGTGCTTTTTTGTAATTCTTCACCGCTTTCCTGTTTTTATTGTCTAGTGTTAACAATAACCCTTGTGTGTCCCGTAAAGTCTTTTCTATATTGCTCATACATTGGAGTGGATAAAGAGGACATTGTATATCACCCTCTTAGTTTATTGTCAATGAACCATTGCACATCTTGTTTTGCCATTTATTAAGTAAAAGATAAGTCAGTTGGCAAGAAATATTATGTTCAGTGAAGTGGAAAACAACGCGAAAAGACAACAAGTGTTTTATTGTTGTGTAATAGTAAAAAAACGTTACTAAAGGGCCAATAATAATCATTTATTCAGTCGAAATTTATTAAAACATTTGCAAATACATAGCCACACAATACTTCAAACTTTAGTCGACGAAACTACAATAAGCATAGCTGTTTTTATGGTCAAATGCTCCTACTTACTGTCAGATGACCTTTGTCATTAATTATCACTATTTATGACCCAATAAGTAATTCACAGGCAGATTATCAGAACTGGATATTCATATGCATGGCTGAAAAGTCTGCTTTATTTATCAACTTTAATACTTATTTTGACGATTTTGCTCTTGTTTACTTTGTATATATATATATATATATATATATATATATATATATATATATATAGAGAGAGAGAGAGAGAGAGAGAGAGACTGCTCCGGTTATCTAAGCCAATTATTTTTTAACCAACAATCGTTTGTTAAATGAATTTACTGGCGTAACACTTTATAAGAGACAGCCATTAACGTGTGCTACAGTTTTCAAAAGTTTCTTATTATTTAAAATCGCAGCTTTTCTATGTGTTTTATTTAACTATATTAGCGTAAAATCCAAGTTCCACAAGAAGTCGATACCGTATTTATCATTATAAATACTTCTGAAACAGTTAAATCTCGTTTCAAAAGGTGAGTAGTCATCGACAAATTATTGGAAAGAACAAATATCCTAGATATCAACAACAAAAATATTCTTCATGACGGAAAGCAACAGAATTCAAAAAGCAGTAGAAGAATTAGGTATGTAAAGAAGTGTTTCTATAAAGGACAACGACTATCCATAAATTAAGTCCTATAAATACAATGTCACCGTATCCTTTTATTTCGTTTATTCAGGATTGTAATTTGATGTGTTTGTTACATTATGAATTTTATGATCAGTCAGTCAGTCAGTAACAACGTAGAACTTCGTACGTACGTACATCAGTTCGAGTTCCCACACCACATTACCACAGAGATGCAGTGGTCGATTCAAATCCCATAGTGGTAGAGGTAATAAGAGTATAAGCAGTAATCGGGAAGATTAGTGTTTGGAGATGTTACTTAAAGAGTATAATACAGTGAAATAAATTTGAGAGGAGAAAAAGAGACAAGGAGGAATAAGGAGATCAAAATTTGGGAGAACACAAAGAGTGGATGCACCTGCGCCATTGCAAACGATTTTGAGCCATGTCATTCAGGGTCTCTAACCATCGGTTGCTATCATCTCGCGGTCCCCAACCAGGTAGTTTACACCTACCGACATGACTCAGACCACTTGTCAGTGACTTCATGGACTTGTGCCATGTTTTGGTCTGGCCGCCCCTAGCTTTCTTCCAACCTACTCCTATACCAGTGAACATCGCACGTCGGAATTTTATGACAAGTTGAATATAATCAATAAAGCATTCGTGTCCCCTTTATTACACATTTCAAGTTTAAATGACGGTGAACAAAAAAGGAGTGATATAGAAGTATAATAAATAATTGCTCTGAGTTGTTTTTATTAGGCTGCTTGAAGCTTGCATTGCAGTTTAAGCTTACAATCAAATTAACGACACTGGGATTAGTTGATAATTACGTATTTGTGAACAGAGCCATAACTACTTTTGAAAAACTTGACTTGCTTTCAACCACTCTCAAAGAAGTGCCAAGCATGTTTTGTATTTCAAAAGTTTGCCCGCAAATAGTAGGTTTTAGTTCTTTACCTAAAGTTTGCTGACATTTATCAGTCCGTTTTCATGGACTGAGGGTAAGCTAGTATGAGAAAATCCCTCATGTACGATATTTTACAGCAAATAAAAATTTTGAATATATAAATGTATCGATGAAGTACTACTAATTGGAGCCATTTCACTGATACTTCCTAATCACGGATTACGATTATCTTGAAGACCCTAAACACAACGTTTACATCCGTCTTCCCAACATGGCTCATTTCAATAGTTGCTGATATTATAGACATATACAATTATCTCTGTCTACTCAATCTAAACCATTTTCCAATCCAAGTCCACATTGGCTAGCATCGCATATCTGAGTTGGAAAAAATGAATTTGATTAAACTATTTAAATAAAGCTTCATTTATTTTCTGGAGAGTCTGTATTTAGTTATTACTTTTGATAAAAATTATAACAAGTTACAACGGTAGGGATAGTGATTAAAAAGACCTGCCATGAAGATATGATAAAACAAGGACAAAGCTGACAAACTCATTAAAAGTGCTAACCAAAATAACGTTCATTTGGTAGTAATTTTTGGGGAAATCTTAAGTCACCTAAGGAGCTACTGAGAGCCAAAGAGTATAAAATATGTTCTGTCTCAGTTTGACACTTTATTGGCGTACATTCACAGATCAACACAAAGTAAAAAATAAGAGTTTTCAAGTATCTCATAAGGCAAGGTATCTTAAGGCCACTAAGCTAGGTGTACATTTGGAATCTGTAGTGTATATATTTTTGTACTGAAATTATCAAAGCACATTTGCGTGTGTCACTGATGTTTTGTATAAATACACTAGTGGTTTGTGGATAGCTCACCATACGACACATTAAACACAGGATAGACAATTTGATCAGTTGCATTAATATTACCAAAGTGGGTTTTTACGTACCTTTTTTCATCAAATAGGTGTAAATTTTCCACTCAAAACCTGTCGAATACCCGTTCTTACCGACGGCTATAGCCTAAATCATCTTGAATAATCCGCATCACACATCAGTAAATCAGAGTGAAAACTGAATACCCTTATTTACGTGAATGAAGGCCGAGGTGAAGATCGACACCCATTTCTTGTTGTTCGCCTGATTAATTTCTGTACAAAGGCTAATAATAAAAGGCGGACTCCCACACGGAAATAAATTTTGCAAAGCTTTCAATCAGTAACCTGGTGATTAAAAGCTAGAAGCTCTAATGGTCCATTTAGGGATAACCTGCATACATGTGTCTTGTACTGATCGTCGTAATACAACAATCGTGAGTTTATAAATAGAGTGTGAACATAAAGCTATTGAGAACAATGATTTGCTCAAACACCCTCTCGCTCTCGAATATTCTACAAGAGCAGTCGAAATATCCTTTGTATGATGGTGTAAACCATCTGCTGATATTTGCACAATAGTCAGGTTCATTCTAATGGTGTGACGTCGAATTTCAAGACGTATTTTTATATCAGTGGCTAGGGACGGTTCATGTTTAGTTGGACTACAAGACCCGTGGCGAAAATCTAAGCATAGTTTTTCATGCAACTTATGTAAACATTCAATTTAAAGGCAAGGTAGATTCAATTAACTTTTACTTTTATTTACATATTAGGTAATATTTAATAATACATATCATTAAGCGAACTTTGATTTTTAAGAATAAACATTTAACTCACAGTTCCATAACAAGGTAGTAACACTCCGCATCTTCTAAGACATCAAACAACTGAACTATATTTGGGTGTCTGAGTCTGGTTTCATAAAGAGGTTTTAACTCATCAACTAACCTTCTCAGCACTTCTATCTCATTGTTGAGAGACTCCTTGCGTGACTCAGCCTCCTTGATAGCACACTCGGAATTTTGAGACTTAGAAAGGTATTTTTTGCGAATACACTTTATCGCTACGAATGATCCAGGGTTTCGTTGATCCTCTGCAAGACGGACTTCTGAAAAGGCTCCCCTAGATGAGTGGGTGCAATTGTATTACATGAAATCATTCATACGTTCCCAATATTTCTTTGAATTCATAGTGGTCAATCGACTGTAACGAAACCATCACAATGAACTATGTAGGGGACGGTAACAACTGAACAAAGTGCATTTCTAATAGCAAATTAAAATTATGTCAAGGTTGAATATAACTCTTTGAAGCATACAAACGAAGACGCTGCATGAGAAGGCACAACTCAAGTTTATGGTGTGTTTAATACGAGAACAAACTTACGGAGTTACTTTTCGTGTTTTAGGAATCAAATCACATACCGATAGATCGAAAATTAGACTGATGATGCATATCAGTTTTCAGTGGTTAGGATAATAAATCAAACAGCCTTTATTAGTCTTTTTAACTGTTAGTATTGTAAAGATTCAGTTTCGCTTTAAATTTATCAGCGAAAGGCTTTGACATTACGTGTTTCGGTAGAGAATTCGTCAAGACGAGAATCTGTGGACGAACCAATCAGATTTGGGGCTTCGTTGCGAAATTCATTCATCCGTCTGGACAACTAGAGTTTTGAAATTTAGCTGATGTCAGTTCGTGATGAAAACAATATATGTAATTCCTAAACCTAACTACCAATGGTAAATCATGGTTGTTATTCTTCAAACTGCTTCACAATCCTCATTTAGCTCTAGTAAGTAGATAGACATTGTCAAAGTGTGATGTTTGAACGAACTAATGATACTTTTGCAATTGTTGGTTGCACGATTTCGAATTCCAAATACAGTACATTCGCTTGTGCTCGTGTCTTACTTCTTAACTGAATTGCGTTATCTCTGGGACTCTTATTTCGTGCTATAATTCAAATAATTAGAAACATTATACTGGCTTAGCGATGGAGCCTGCAATGGAAAAGTTGGATATTCATTCAACTTCGGAAGCTTTTGAGGATTATTTGGAAAGGTTTGAAATCTGGAGCATGACTAAGAAAGGTCTTAAAGGTGATAAAATTGCGGCACATTTCCTGGCATTCATTGGGAAAGAAGCGTACAGCTTATTAAAAACTTTGGCATATCCATGTAGGGCCAGTGAAATGTCACTGAGTCCTAGCCAAATCATCCGGCAGTTGAATCACTGAATGTCGAACAGATCGTCGCTCCCTGCCAAGGTCATGTACAACAAACGCGCATTAGTTAATGGTATGCCATGGACTGGCCCATGCGGCAGTGATCTTACTTTCGCTTGTATCCACTTTAACTAATATATTTCTGTAATAACGTCCTTTGTGTTGTACAGTCTTCAAAGCATCTATAGTACCTTGTTACGTCAATGGGGGTAGTCTACGTAAGGTGCTGACCACGAGGTGTGACTTCGACGTTAGTTGGTTCGTCACACTATTCACGTCTAACTCGAGTAGGCCTCCAATCATTTCGATATAGATCATCTACGTTGGTGATCTACATCCAGAAAAACCTATCTCACTTCCTTATGCAATTCTTAAGGAACTGTTATTAAATCATGTAAAGTGCACCAGTTTTGAATGCCGTGGAAGGGCTAAATTTCATAAGATGGTTCGTTAAAATGACCAAAACCTTCGGGAATTCATCCTTGAATTGAAGAAACAAGCTGTCAAGTGTAATTTCTGTGCAACTGAGAGATCGACTAATTGCAGGAATTAACATACCGTGTTTGAAAAGAGAGCTGTTATGAATGCCAAACTGTTCCTTTCAAGATGCTAGAACTGCGTGTATTAACTACGAAGCAGTAAATGAACTTGATATCCAGTCGATGAAGATTTCTAATACTTTGCTTAGTCGTCATGATGAACTACAATCTCAGGGTCAATCAAACTTGCGTTCGTTTAACAGTGATTCCTATTCTCGTGTAAGTATCAAAGGTGTTTTAACAAGGAATTACAAAGCAAATCACAAAGGTGAGATGAAGTTTGGTAAATTTTTATCATGTAGAAAGTTTCACTCCCGTAATTCATGCGCATTTCGTAGTGCTAAATGTTTTAAATGTGGTAAGATAGGACACATTCAGTCAGTATGCAAAGCTACTGTCCATTTCGCTTCAAGTAGTACTAAATCTTGTAATTTAAATCTCAATAATTCGGATGTTTCTAGCGATCATTTATCTTTGTCTACTATTTCGAAAGGTAATGCTCATATTCAAAAGAGACTATATACATCGCTTGGTTCATTTCATGACTTTATTGTGGACACAGGCAGTATAGAGTCCATTATTTCATTCAAGAACTTGAAATCCTTAGATCCTAACGTTGCGGTACGACCCACTGAAGTATCAGTATTGGGGATTACTGGACACAGACTGCCCATACGAGGATTTTATGAATCGCTAATAAGAGATGATAATTCTTCATACATACCTTGTGAATTTTTAGTTAGCGAAACAGGACTGTCAATATTAGGTTTCAAGAATTTGAAAAGGCCTAAAGTGGAGTTTTCCTTCCTAGTTTCTAAAGAAAATTCTGATACTTTACTTAAAGATTTGATAGCTATATGTGCTAAGTGCAGTGGAGGTATGAAAATTCAGCCTATAAAACTTCAACTACAGGGTGATCCAGTCTCTCTTAAAAGACGAATATTTCCTTATGGTCTTCGAGAAGCAGTACATAAGACATTAAACGATTTGTGTGCGAAAGCCATAAGTGAACCAATTCAGTCTTCAGCATGGGGTACTCCTATGGTTACGCCACTGAAGTCGGACGGCAAGACCCCTAGAATTTGTGGTGACTATAGATTAACTCTGAACTCCCGTTTGTTGAAGCAAACGTGCACGACGGTAGAGGCTGAAGATATTTTAAATCGACTTCATGGTTCCAAAGTGTTCTCCAAAGTTGACCTAAGAGATGCTTATCTTCAAATCCCTTTAGATCACTTTTCATCTATTTTGACGACAATTAACGCTCCTTTTGGTCTGTTCAAATACAATTTCCCTCCATTTGGTCTAAGTTGTTCTCCAGCCATATTTCAGGAAGTTATGAATAAAGTAGTTAGTGATCTTGAAGGTGTTGAAGTTTATCAAGATGATCTCATTGTTCATGGTTTTAATAAGGTAGTTCATGACCAGAAACTTATTGCTTTATTGCGTCGTTTAATTGAGAAGAATATTACAGTGAATCCAAATAAGTGTTCATTTTGTGTATCTAGTTTTGAATGCCTTGGATACCTAGTTGATGGTAATGGTTTTAGACCAGATATGAAACGACTAGCTCCACTGACTAATGCACCGTCTCCAAAAAATCTTACGGAATTACGTTCACTAATGGATGCTCTTCAGTACTCCTCCCGTTTTATTCCTAATTTTTCTTGTTGTGCAAATTGTTTATTTGATATTTTGACATCCATTTCATTCAAATGGAGTGAGGAACAAGAGTCATGCTTACGGAATCTACTGAAGTTTCTTCAAAGTGATGCTGTTCTTCGAACGTACTCCCCTAGTGTACATTCTGTGCTTAGTACTGATGCATCACCTTTGGGAATTGGTGCAGTTTTGGAACAGGAAGCCAGACCAGTTATTTGTGTTTCACGCAAACTTACTGTTACTGAACAAGGTTATTCACAGACTCAGCGTGAAGCATTACATGTGTTTTAAGCTGTTAAAAGACTTCAAAAATATTTATTTGGAAAGAAATTCACTATTGTTACTGATCATGAAGCTTTAAAGTTTATTTATCATCCTGGAAAATCCTTAGCACGTTCCCCAGCTGCTATGGTTCAATGATGGAGTATTGCTTTGAGTGCATACGACTATACAGTTCAGCACAGAAGTGCCAAACAAATTCAACATGTGGACTACATTTCTCGACAGTCATTACAAGATAAACCTATTATTACTTCAGACTGTTTGTTAGTGCAACCTTTACCAGTGAGACGTTCAGATCTCATTAGAGAAACTCGCAGATATTTTGGATGTATACTCAGTGCTATGCGGAAAAGCTGGAATGCTAATTTGAAACGTAGATTTCCTATCTATTTTTCAAAGCGGGATGAGCTATCTACTACTCCTGATGGTATTCTGTGTTTAGATGATCGTGTCGTCATTCCTCCTTCATTGCGTAAATCTGTTCTTGAAGATCTTCATAGTGGTCATTTAGGTGTCGAGAAAATGAAGTCCTTGGCAAGGCTCACATGTTGGTGGCCAGAGATAAATGCAGATATATGTCGTACTGCAAACAATTGTGAGAAATGTTATCAGTTGAAAAATCATCCTTCGAAGTGGACGCCATGGCCAGTATCGTCGGAGGCCTGGCGGAGAATTCATGCTGACTATTGTGGTCCGTTTCTTGGCAAATACTATGCACTAGTAGTTATTGATTCTTTATCAAAGTGACCTGAAGTTTTTTTCACAACTTCATCGGATTCTGATTTCACAATCCAAGCATTAAGAAAGGTGTTTAGTCGAGAAGAGGTTCCTATGGTGTTGGTCTCTGATAATTGCGCTCACTTTATTGCAGATGCAGTCACTACCTGGTTGAACGGTAAAGGGCGCAAACATCTGTTTACTGCTTCCAGACATCCGTGTTCTAATGGTCAGGCAGAGAATTTTGTCAGGACATTAGAGACTGCTATTGATTCTATAGCCGCCTCAACATTTAATGAGCTGGAGAGAAGAGTAGATACCTTTCTATTGAAATATAGAAATGACAGACGTTCGGTGACGAAGGAGACTCCAGCGAAGTTATTGAAAGGAAGAATTCTTCAGTCGAATATGAGATGTTTGGAGTCTTCAGAAGTTACATAATATCAGGGAAATGATCTTCGACCATCTACGGGTGTTGTTCTGAAGAATGTCGGAAAAACGATGGTGCGAATTCTAGACATCAATGACTTAAGTACACACAGTCGACATGTAGATCAAATACAATTTCAGGAACCAGGTGAGTCGGTTCCAATTTCGGTTGTTGATTCCAATGCTAATGAGCACATTCTAGATAGTACAGAATCCTTATCCGATACAATGTCAGACAGACTGAGGATGAATTTGAGAAAACTTACGACTGATTACAAACACCTAGACTCCAATTTAAGCTGTGGTGGATGTGGTGTTTGAACGACCTAATGATACTTTGCAATTGTTGGTTGCACGATTTC